AAGCACCTCTTTTTTTTCCGAAATTTGAAACCGTCGGGTGGAATACATAAGCAGAAATGTTTCAACTAGGCCATTGGTGCTATGATTTTTAAGACATGTTATTTTACTAAATTGTTTACATACCTTTCTGTTAATTTAAATATTACAAGTTCTCAAAAAATGCACATATGACCAATACATAATGATATTATTATATGAAAAAGAAATATGCCTGTGACATCATATGAGAAGTTATCCCAGTATCATTGTATATAGGGAAAATAAAAACAAGAGAAAGTCATTATGCGTGGGCTATCTCTCTCTCTCTACTCCTCTCTCTCTCCTTCTCTCTCATCTCTCTCTCCTCTCTCTCCTCTCTCTCTCTCCTCTCTCGTCCTCTCCTCTCTCTCTCTCTCTCTCTCTCTCTCCTCTTCTCTCTCTCTCTCTTTTCTCTCTCTCGCCTCCTCTCTCTCTCTCTCTCTCTTCTCTCTCTCTCTCTCTCTCTCTCTCTTTTAAATCCTCTCTTGCCGAGTCACTCCACAACGCACCTTTGAATGGATTCAAATGAACACATCCAATGGTGGAACACAAGTAGGTCCAAATTTCAGGCTAACGGCGAATATTTACGGTCGATCACACTCTTATTGTGACCTGCTTCATTAGATGGATTCTTTAAGATATCACATTGGGATTCATCCCTGGACATGTGAATCTCATAAACTTTGGGATTGTCAATGTTTAGGCTAACAGTTACTACCCAGGAAGTGGCCCATCATTTGATGTTTCACCAAATTGTCCTACATCTTAGGTTTGTATTTCGGACTTTTCTTGTAAGCCTTTCTGGCGTATTTTTTTCATGCATTCTCAATAAAAACACTGAAGTGTTACAGGTTACTTAGGTTGAGAAAGTTCTAGCATGCACAGTGAATAGTACTAAAATACTTAGCATGACAACCGCTTTGTAACCCATTTGTGTGTTAATTTTCCTCTTAATAGATACTCCTCTGTTTTTAGGAGGCGTATATAAATTAAAAGTAGAGCATTTTTAATGCCGACTTACAGCGCAACTTCATCCCAGCCAATAGCTCCAATGAGCAGTGATGTGACAAGCGTGTCAGCAGGGGACTGGTTTATACAAACATATTAAATAAATCTAGCCAATCAAAGTGACTCACCAAAGTCCCATGTGGATTTAATCCCCTTATAGAAATCAATCCGAGGACATAGTGTGCGACCGCGCAGGAGGATTTGATTTTGACACAAAGAAAGAAATCATGAAACTAAGGCCTTGTTCATCTTTGGTCCCCGTGCGTCCAGCTGTGTGTAAAACTTTTCCTAAGTACTCTTTGTTTTCCTCCGCTTGCAGCTTTTGAGCCTCTAATCAGCAAATGTCGCTCTGCATTTCTCTCGACGATGTGCCTTTACTGTCCACGAGGTTACGAGATATGATCCGTGTTTGTGTCTCAGGCTTCAGAGGTGTGCAGAAGGGTCTCTGTGCTGGCTTTTGCTCCGGCCTTTCCCTGCGATGGGCCGGTCTCATCTCCCCTCCACAGCGTGACCCCCGTACCGCCACAAATCTGTTTGCATTTGAAAAAGACCTGCTGATCGGCGATGATCGCCACAGGGCAGTCTGCAGAGGGAGAAGACATAGAAACGAGACGTTTAAAACAATTAAAAACCTGTTTCAAAAAGGCCAGCGATTCCTTGAATACAGCTTTTAAAGAATGCTTACCAATAATTAATCAATGAATTAGTCCCAACCTTCGAAGCATAGTAAGTTTAACAAAATGCTAATCCAATTTTGTTCAATTGAAGATGCGTTGTACAAACTACTCTTTCTTTAAATAATTAACACCCGCCACCGCCGTCATCAGTTTTAATAGAAGGCACAAATTTAAAAAAAATGTAACTATGCATTAACGTATATTAAAACCGACTTTTATTATACGGGCTTTCGACAATAAGCAATATTGAAAAGGATGGAGTCCTTAAAAATTGGTTTAAGGAGCAGTGCCCGCTGAGGGCTACTCCTCCCCCTTCACATCATTGCGTGGCACCACCCATTGAAACCCTGCTTTTGACGCCACCTTTCCCCAAGAGTTCCCGGTCTGTTGGGAGAGGGTATCGCACCCAACCAGGCGTCCTCGCCCCGCATCGACCACCACGACAGCCTGATCAGATCCACATCACATCCCACACCTGCAGCCAGCAACCAAAGGTAATCCACAGAAGAATGAGATTAAAGGAGATATGATGTCATCTGGTGTGTGTTTAATGATGGATTTATGATGAACAGGCTTGAGATGTTTTTTATAAAGCTTATAGTAGGGCTGGGCTTCAGGCTTACAATAACCCAGCAACTTAGTTATGCTGCTATAAGGCTTAGATAGGCAGCATAACTAAGTGGCGAGAGACTTTCACCGTTTCATTTTTTCCCTCTCTTCCTATTGACCTCTTTGTTCATGCGTTCCATAAATGCCTGTTACTAAGTCAGCATGCTGGGCCATCGATGTTTTTATTTTGATGGGTTTCTTTGCAAGAGCTTCTCCCTGTGCGCTGTGAGGGTCCAAGCGCCAAAGGTAGAACATATGCTGTGTAGACTGTGAACCCCTAAAACAGACATTTTATTTATATATATTGGCTGTAATAAAATAAAATGTGACATCTAAAGCCCAATAAACTGAGTTACAAGCCGGTGTGTGTGTGTGTGTGTGTGTGTGTGTGTGTCGTTGTGTGTGTGTGTGTGTGTGTGTGTGGTGTTGTGTGTGTGTGTGTGTGTGTGTGTGTGTGTGTGTGATGTTGTGTTGTGTGTGTGTGTGTGTGTGTGTGTGTGTGTGTGTGTGTGTGTTACCTTTATCTGACTGTCCTCTTGTCTAAATGAAGCCCTGCCATCTGGTCCAGCGACAATATTTCCCAGATCACCGACATGCTGCGAGACAACGACAGACATTGAATAAATAACACAAGGAGTACACAGCATGTGCGCCAGGGAACACTGCGGCAAACTTGTAGCTCTGTCACACATTTAATAGACAATTTAACACCTGAACTGCTCACAAGGGCTCCTGTGGGACATATTTGGCGAGTATCACATCATTCATTCTGCTTGTGTTGACATTTTATTGAATCCCAGGAGTGATTTTATCAGAATTTATGGAGAAGAAGACCAATTATTAACTTACTTCTTTTATAAATGTTCTGATAGAGAATCATCTACACAGCATGGGGCAAGTACAACAAAAATGAACATGCAGGAAGTTATTTTAATAGAGTTATAAGATAAATATATGGATGTACCCTTTCAGAATCCCCTGGACTGCCGTGTTGTCTTCCAAAGGGGTTATAGTGCTCTCCACAACTATAAAAACAGAAATGCATTATATATAATTAAATACAAGTTAACAAAACTTATCTGCAGTGCAATTTCACGTGTGCTTTAGCTGTCAATGTCTCGATTCCTGTCGATTGTCCATCACTAACAATGACAAGACACTTCAAAATGGATCATTCTTCAAATCTGTATTTTAGCCACACAAAAAACTCCAACAAAAACTATAAAACTTGAGTTAGTTGTAGTGTTTGTGTTCTTGTGTGACTACGGTTCTTCAGAGGGTTATTCTGGACACACTAAAGTCACATAAAAACACACAAAAAACGAACCAATCCAGACAGCTGTATACGGTATCTCTCGTGTTGTGTGAGGTAAAATTACTGTTGTCTGGTGGCTATAGAGAGAGCACAGATAACAACTTCAGTTTCTCGTTGGAAAGGGCTGTGTAGGGGAGATAAGGCAGGGACACAGGAAAAAGAAACGTCTACCATCAGAGGGTCGATATCCCAAGATAGTCAATATGTTGGAAGTGGCAATATACTTAACCCCAAATCACTCCTGTAGCAATGTCTACGGTAAGTGTGTTAGTCCCTTTGGATTACCATGTAATGTAGTGTAAAATAATATTCTAAATATATAGGTAACATTAACTCATACATTTTTATTAAAACGTCTAAAATGTGTTTTTTGCTGCCTCTGTCCACAGTCGCTCATTGCTTTGCTTCCTCTCTCTAACTCCTGTCTGCTTCTCCAAAATGGGGGCGTATGTGTTACACTGACTACGGATAAGTACCTCATACAGTGCCACTCTAAAACACTCACACTATCCCCTTTAACCGGAGCAGCCTGTTCACCCGCTCCCTGTTACCTGAGGCAGTCCTGGGTCAGGTCCCCCAGGGTGTGGACGTGGAGGCCGTGGGGTCCGGGCTCCAGCCCATCAATGGTCCCATCGATCAGGCACCGCTGCTCCGACAGCTGCAGGAAGCGCACCACTCCCTGGATCCTCCCCCCGCCCGCCAGCATGGCCACCGCTGAACCCAGGTCTGTCAGAAACACACAGACGTAATGAACAATTTGCACGATTAAAAATCAAATTTTAAACTTAGCAATTGTAATAAACATGTTATATATTGTGGTACAACGAGCACATTTTGACTTTGACTTCCTATATTTGTTATAAATGTCTTTATTTTATTTGATCTTTTATTGCACTTTTTACTTCTTGTGTTTATATAAATGTTTTCAATTCTATATATTTTTTTAATGATCTTTTATTGGACATTTCACCTGTAATGTACTTAAGGCTCCCTGTGGGTTTTAGAGACCCAGACTGAGGGATTTTGGCTATATTCAATCTTTATTTCAGACTGAAGGTCCATATCACATACAAAAAGACAAGACACACATCAATAAATAAGATAAAAAGCTAAACACAAAACAGATAAAAACAAAAAGATAAAAAACATCAAATCAGTCCAATCACAGCCAGCCACACATGCTCACTGTCCGTATAAGCTACTGCGCCAATGTCTCCAAATCATGGAAGAGAACCGAGTAGAACTCTTCACAGGGTTGATTAAAATCGAGATAACATGATTGTCAGAGTCTTCTAGGCGACACATGAATTTGTACATTAACTTTCTTAAAAGGGCTTGACAGGTAGGTAGGTACCCCTGAGTTAACAAACAGCTGGCTGGCACTGTGCCATCTTGGTACCCTCAGCAGCAACCGTTAAGTAGACCCTCCAGAAAAACGCGATTCTGCGATCGCAGAATTTACCGCATAATCAGCAAAATGGCGCAGATTTCTAAAAGGCCGCATATTTATCAAAAGGCCGCATAATCCCCGCATTTTTCCACACAAAGTTGAGAAAAAAAAAGTTAACTCGTCTTGACTTGACGTCATCAGCTCGCGCATCTAGTTATCAAAATTATCACCGTATCGAGATGCACGTTCAGAGTAACCTTCTTAATTAATCTATTTAAGGATCATCCGTCTACTTACGATCCTACCAACAAGTTAGTCAAGTCCACAAATCATCAGAATAACGGACACCATACTTTGACAGAGACTCAGACCAACCAAAATCAGGCCTACGGACGCCATGGCGGACGGTCTGCCGCGTCCGTCTTGTCAACACCGAACCCTACTACCCCCAGAAAATAGTTAGGCTCCCTAAAGAAGGACTCTTTGGTGTCATGAAAATCAAACCAAGAGTAGTTTTGGGAACACAGTAGAAACTCCAGATTGTTGATTTTGGTCTGGTAACAAAAAGGTAGGCACAAAATTACGACTACTAGAATTAGTAGAAGGGGAGGGTCGACGACCGAATGTTGTCCAGAGACTCCTTGAACAAGGGTCATTGGCGCGTACTAAAATTATAATTGATAATTGCGGTTCTTTCATCGTAGTATAACACGCTTCATTTCTCCTATTTTGTCCGACTCATAAAGGAGGTAAAATGAGAGTCATCGTTGTAAGAAGAACACACGTCACTCCGAACTTCATTGGGAACCAGTAATATAGAGCTAGCTAGAGTGTCTAGTTGTTTGCTGTAGGTGAGCTCTGTAGTGCGACGTTTGACATGACGGGTCCGTTTGTATAAGTAGCGCCTGTAAAGTGTTCACGATGGTGACGAGTTACAGTTCCGATAATGGAAAAGTATCGGATGTGGTAACATGTGGTAACATGTGCCGACGCTCGGACACCTCATTGATGTTCCGAGTGGACACCTCATTGATTGTTCCAAGTGGACACCTCAGTTGGTGTTCCGATCTTCGTATGTGTTTTGCTTTTTCAACGTATGTGTACTAACGAATTGATCTGGAGGTCTTTTTGGCGCCCGTTTTTGGAACTAATACCGCTAATTTGTACGGCCCCAAAATTACACTAAAATACTCCACTTTTACGCCCTTCAACGCTTTGATACGATTTATACGCCTTTTTTAATACGCGTAAAAAAAATTTTTATTAAGCCCGACAGGAATAAATAAGAGACGAAGTGTGTGTGGACGGGTGATTGCAATTTGGGGAAATGGATACAGTTAATTTGTGTAAGTTACAAATAAATAACATTTTTAGTTAACCCGATATAATTAGAGTGCGTGTTGTGTGTGTGTGTGTGTGTGTGTGTGTGTTGTGTGTGTGTGTGTGTGTGTTTGTGCGTTAAGAGGCGGAGTAAGACAAAAGTAAATCAGGCAAGCAGATAGACGTCGAAGGTAGGAACATCCGTGAGTGGTAGCAGAACATCGGGAGCTTTCCCAATAACCTCCAACTAGGAAGCACTTGCACTTCAACAACCGAATAGAACAGGTGCGTCGTCGTCTTTCGTAAAAGCTTACAAACTTACCTATGTTGTCACCCAGCAGTGGCTAGCTATAAAGATGAATACGAGGTTGTTTGTTCAACGTGCCCCACGTCTTATCAAAGGGTGGGTGAAAAACGTGGCCAGAAATCATCTTTACAAGCAGCCATTTACTCTACCTAATCTATAAAAGGTAAAACCCGACAAAAGAGATAGCACACTCGAGGTGTGCAAGTGAGATTGTCACACAAAT